AACTCTTACGCTTTCCTTATTGTTCAATGATTTGTCAACAGAGTGCAGAGTGAAGTTTAAATTTAGCATGGCGATGAGAAAATCATTTTTACAATCGTCCAAACGAATTTACATGAAGGGAGTACTGATTGAAAAGAACATTTTCAGGTAATCCGAGTGTCCTCGAATAGATATTACAGAAAACTAATTCGAAAAATTAGTTTAAAAAGTCGATTCATGTAAATTCTGGAACAATTTATATTTCAACCGTAAACATTCAGCCAATAATCCGAAAATGTTCATCATAATGATGTGTTACAGCTGATCAGAAAATTGGGTGAATTTTCTTACTAACGCTTTGCTACCCAGACTTTGTTTAGTTCGATTAATTGTACGACAGAATCTTGCCGAGAAGATATGTGAGAAAGATTTGTTTTTCATTACAAGAAGCCGTACTTCTTTAATGATTGGTTAAAAATTGAAAGGTTCCCACATTTCGTTAAATCAAAGCAAGATGAAACGAGAGCTCTGGGCATTCGTTACAGTACCACTAGTTTTTATTTGTAAAAGTGATCAGGAAGTCATCCAGATACTACCCAGAAAGATCACTGGGTTGAACTGACCTACCGCAAATGTTCCTAATACATATCGACCATCCGACTTAAATTTTGCCACAAACCATTTTACAATTAATTATGAGTTATGACTTACACTATTGTAATAAAAATTTTTCATTTATTTATTCGAGCTCGTTCAGTATGATATAGCATCAACAATACAATTTAATGAACAGGAGAAATGCATTTGCTAAAGCAAAGTATTCTGCTTGTGATAATCATTTAAAAATAGTTTCTACGGTATGGAAATATTTTTACATAATACTTATTTAAAGAATGAAGTACTCGGGCAGCATAAAACTTTTTAATTCAAAAATCTAAATTGGAGTGCATAAAAAGAGATCCCCCCATTTTCCAATTACGCTTAAGACGTGACCCTGAAAATTTGATAACAAAATCGCGACAGGGCTGCCGATCACTGAATGAGAGCTGCGACAACATCCCGATTAGAAGAACATTGGGTGAATAAATTTTTTTTAACTTGTAACTACACAATTCTCTCTTGTCCTAAATATTTTTTTTGATAAGAATTTCCTGCATTTCCTGTATATCGCTAATAACAACATAAAGCAGGATATAGTTAAGAAGTATCAAAAACTAGTCACCATTTTTCTCGTCTTTTTGGAATCGAAAAGTGGAAGAAATAGCTGAAATGTGGGTGGGGAAAAAAAGTGGAGGGGAAGGGAGAAGGAAAATCACAGCGATATAAGAAATGGTGACAACTACAATGTTTCTTAGAAATCTCTGCCACAAAACATCCAGAAATTTTCTTATGAATAAGTGAAGCTGAAATACGAGACCTTCAAAGAGCAACAGTTCCACATTCAAAATGGATTTTTGTTTTCGACAAAATAAACGCACGAATTGAAATGTTCTTCTAATACATACAGAAAAATTGAATTTAATTAATGAACTTTTGGAAAGTAAGGCAAGGTGATGACTTAAAAAACATAGCAAGATCCGAATACATCAATCAAATTTTTACAAACAAAAAGATATTAAGACCAGTGTTAACAGTTAAAACAATGTAGCAAACATTGCTACGAACTACTATTAAGCACGTGACCAACCAGTTTCCCTGCTTCCATTTCATTGATTGCGAACGTTCATTGTCTTTTTATACCTTACTCCAAGTAAATAACGATAAAATAATGGCCATATGAATATGAAAAATATATGCGTAAAACAGTACACAGAGAGAAGTGGCTGAAATAAAAGTTTAAAACATTTTGCTTCAGGAAATTTATTGCTTTTCCAAAAAAAGAAAATTCCAGAACCACATGTTTTAGAGGCAGACACAACAAGACTAGAAAGGGATTTTAGATGGTCAGCTGCTGGTGAACGCCACCGAAAATGATTCGGTAAGACCATTATAACAATTTCGAATGAATCTGATCATCTGAAATATTTTGAAAAAAAGCAAAAATGAAGTTGGATGAAAAAGATAACAGACCCTTATCCAGTACCGCGTTTTGATAAGACCAAATGTTAAAAAGCCGATACCCATCGAAACATTAACCACAACGCGTCCAGAAATAAATTTCAATGGTAGCATATATGGTTGTGCTAAGTAGTACGATAGCTTCGGTGATTTACTCAGCAGTAAATAAAACTACAAAATGATTCAAATAACTCAAAGGAAGAAACGAAGCAATGAAAAGTTGCAGCAAATGAATCAGGTATTTTTCGACTTTATTTTCATTTACGTTATTCTTACCCTCCTAATTTTATATTAACAATTTTCATTGAAAGAAAGCTATTATCTGGAAGTAAGACGGAAAAACTGCCAGAACAAAAATTTGTATAAAAATGCTACAACGAATAAAAGATAAAAACATTGGAACCTGCCTGTTTTTGTGCTAGAACACATGCAAATTCAAGGAAAAAAAGGATGAAGTAACCAAGATGATAACCATGCCAAATCGCGAGGTAAATAAGCGTTATTAAGTGACTATAGGTTTGATTACCCAACCACCGCAGTCGTCGATACAAATGGCTAGAATAAAATATGGATACATTACCAATTAGTATCAAGCAAAAGAGTTTATCAATTTTCTGTTTTTCATCATTGGATATGTCTGGATGCGACGTTTGTCTAACACATGGAGGAATGAGATTAAATTCATCCCAAAACGGTTTGGTCCTGTTTAACTACAATATGTAGATGAAACTTAACTGGAACAGTTAAGCTCAAGCTTTGCCACTGGCTATAAATAAATCCAAAAATTACTTTTTAGCAAAAGTGTTTGTGCCAACATTGAAACTGTCAATAACACTTTGAAAATCCAAACCAAATTCCCATCTTATTATATGGACATCACGTACGCCATCCCAACGGTCGTTACCTTTCGAATCTTTTCCGTTATATGCAATACCTGCCAATATTGCTGCTCCTTCCTGTGGAAAGTCATATTTGATAAATGAGATGATACAGTACAACATTTGCTCCTCCCATAACCACTTTCGAAGCATCAAGCCTTTGGATGCATTGGTTAAATGCATCAACAGAGGACAACTGAAATCTGAATATAAATACCTGCACAACACCTGAATGTAATAAGTGGCAAATAAATAGCACATAACCGAAAACATACAGTAAAAAGCCAAACAGAAACATATCGACACATAGTAAGTCGGAACCACAATACAATCCAGATTACTTTCCAACGAAATGAGAGCGCCTAAAAATCCACAAATGAATCCCAAATAAGACATCAAAAATAGTCCTAAATAGAAGTGTCAAATTGGCCCAGTCAAACAGAAAATTATTTCAGTGGATGCGAATAGCTGCAAGGTCCTTGATTTTTACTTTATTTTCATGGTTAAGAAGGTTCAATCCATAAAGAAATTTAAGGAAAAATGGATAGCAATTAATCTATTCATAATTTAAACACTAACAAAGAACTGAGGGGAGTTAAAATATTCATTCGGTATCCATAAGGTCCCCCAATGATGCATAATAATGTAGAAACAAGCCGCTACAAAACGTCCCAAGCTCGGCATAAACCTGAAATTAAGGGGCACTATTTTAAAATGATCGTTATCATATTCAAAAAGATGGTCCAGTGATCATGTGCATCTAAATCTAAAGAATAAAATGAAAAAACTAACCCTGACATACGTACTTCTTTCTTGGTGTCAAGATAATCGCCAGCGACAAATGACCGAAAGCGAGAAAGGGAGTAAAGTGGGCCAGTAAAGGTGCCACAAAAAAAGTACCCAAAAGCTGCAATTTCTAAAAGATTGGGAGGCTTTTTTATTGCTGTTTGCATCTGATATGTTTCCAATTTACCCTGAAAAAGCATTTGATTAATGCACCAAATTCGAAATTGAAAAAGAAAGGCTTCCATGAGATAAAGTCGCAAATAAGCATATTACACATAAAAAAAGGAGATGAAACCAGTTTCTTACACTTATTTTTTTTATCAGGGAATGATCAATTACCGTTGAGATACTAACGATACAATTTTCTCCCTTTTTCTTTTTTAAACAAAGGAAAAGTGAAATATTCTATGATGCAAAATTTTTGTAATCAGGTTTACGAAACAAAGATAGCCCTAAAAATAAAGATTAATACAATAGAGAACAAAAAAAGTTTAGACGACGAAGATCCATATTTTTGCATTACTTCCCCGCATCGCAACAGATACAGTGACCATATCAGCGTATAAAATTTTAGGAATATACCGCTGGTTTGTGTCCATCGTAAACATCCATAACAAGACCAATGAAACGTAAAGTCATTATACAGAACGATGTTGTCCAGTTAATATCATAATTATCAGTTTCCGAATAACTGTAGCCAATTAATAAATGCCCCTGGGATTCAAAAAAAAAAAATTTTCCAAAGTAAATTTGAAAAGCTTTTACCCAAGAAGTACCTTCACTTTTTCGCAGCCATAACAATAAGTAAACAGTGTTGCACTATAATCGTTCTAAAAATTTAAAGCACACACACGATAAATATTTTATATTTGAAAACATGTGAATCAAAGGTAAAACAAAAAATGAAACTTTATGGAAAGTTACTGCACTCAGAACCAAAAACTTACCAGAAATGCAAGATGAGCTAACAAAACGGAAATTTTTTGGCCTGGAAAATATGTCACAATCCAATATGCTAGTAAAATACTTACAATGCTGTGAAGTACTGCAGCACCTGGAAAATAAGACCAATTTCACAAGTAACAGAAACAATCAAAAGTTCTTATCGAATGTCCTTCAGAGAAAGCGGCTAGAGTTACTGATTCATACTGCTTCTGGAATAGATATCAAAAAATGGTACCATAATTGAACAGATAAAGTGCCAAACCAGCAACCACAAAGTAAGCATATTGTACAATAGGCGACTTATTGTAAAATACTGACCGATAAACTGCCGCCAGTGGATACCCTGAAAATGTCATCAGTTTATTCCACTGATACACTTTTACCATAATCAAAATACAACAGGTGCTGACGGAATCTTTCCACTAATAAATGATCATTTCCTTAGAAAAGAAACTGATAAATAATTTAATAGCCAGTGTTATCTACTGGCGGTTGATATTATATCTACTGTTTCTTGTTGATAATTTATCTATCGTTTAATACTAAGCAGATACATACTTTGCTGACAAGATGACCTACCAGCAAGGACGGTAATGAACAAGACTAGACCATCTTCACGTATATGCACCGCTGTTGATAGTGCCGACAGTATACCCATTGTTTCCTTTCCTTTAAGTCCGATAAGCCGCTGAAATCACCCATCTCCGTACTTCCAAGCAGAACTTGTTACAAAACCTCAAAATTCCCAATCCGGAAGGTTAGCCCTAATACGGAGTCACTACAGCATTACCTTAACCTATTTTTCTTCTGTATGTACAACATTCCGGATCGAGACCTACGCACAGAAACAAACAAATCGAACAAATTTTCGACATCTTCGAGGTCAACCTCCAAAGCGCTTAACCCGACAGAAAACCCAGAGTGCTAACATCTCGGTGCTCTGACTACCGAGATTCTCTCTGAAACCCACAATCTTTATCCATTTTGACAAATACTGCAGCATTGGCGTGACACCGTAAGCCATCTTTCGTTGTGGGACTCATGAATGTTAATCAAATTTATGGATTTGGCGGGAGTGCTGACAATTTGCTGAGGTTATTGGGTTTTGTTCCATTTTAGGTGGTGAGACCTCGGGTAGTGCCGTGCTTCGGGTGGCCGAGATGCCTCAGGTGGCGGGACGCATTGCATGCGAGCATTGCGCTATACATTAGGAATTGAATATAGCAATATATGCATTTAGGAGTGGAAATGTCGAGGAAAAAAACGGATCAATGTGCGAGAAAAAATCGCTCCGCCGGTTCGTTTTTTTGTTCATTAAAAGTATCGTAGTAGTAATAATCCATGCATATTGCCCAGCCACTGCTTTTTTACATCACTTAGGAACAGGAAATGCCGTGCGGTCACAGACCATCTCCCAGGATTATGCTAATTCTTTGGCTTGGTTTGGAATCCTCTTGTCGTTTAGTGCAACGAGTTTTATTTAAGGAAAACATGTAACGCAGAATAGATAGGTTATCAGAGTAACTTTCAGTAGGGGAAGAGGCATCCTCACTGTTACTCGACTGGTCAGTATCTATTTAATTCTAACTGAAATTCACAAAGTACTTTAACGTATGAATTATAACATAGATCTCATATCTGAATCAAGAACCAGATTAGTTCTGGAACTTGTTATATGAATAAGCCTGTTATTATTTGCAACGGGTAAAGTGGATAATGCAGGTAATGAGCCGACCTTCCTTTTCAATGCATTGGAAGTCCAGAAATTAAAACATAAAGGAAAAAATATGAAGACCAGAGATGGAAATAGAGAAGATGAAGGAAACATGTCGAAGTTGGATTATGAATTAAGTTCTTATAGCAATTTGTTGGTCAAGGCTATGAAACCGATTCGTGGCCAGGTATTTTTCCAAGACTCTTTTCCAGTTCTCAAGTTGAGATTTGCTTCACTTTTAAATTTTAATGGATGGAAATGGAGTTACCTTTAGAGGAAGGTTCTAGTGGAATTCCGGAACACTTCTCATTGCGCATCTCGTTCTTTCATTTCTCGTTTTACATCCCGAGAGACCGAGAGGCTTAGATTTCAGACTAGCTGAAATAGTTTGGCATCGGTATTTTCACCAGTTGAGTCCTCAATCGCCGTACAGAATTTCTACGATTTTCAGAAACAGCTTTTGAAACGTCTTTGTTTGGATGTAGATGAAGTGTTGGAGAAGTGTACAGTTAACGAACTGAGGCGTGCCGTTTACGAACCCTACTTCATTACTTCACTGGAAGTTTGTAACCTAAAATAATACCACTGTTTCTGTAATGCTTGTTACCCTTATCAGGAATTTTCATCCTCGGTTTTTTTTTCTCAAGTTCTTAATAACTTTAAGCATTTAACAGTTTCGGACATTTTTCAATAAAAATATTCTGTAAATCAATTGATTTCACAAATAATCCGATTTGCGGAGAGCTTTCTGAATTTGCAGGACTTGCGGATAGGTTGTTAGCATATAAAATTTTTCTTTCTGTTCACAATTTGCTTATTCATGTACTTTATTAAGTAACTCAGTTTTGGGGTTCGATTTTGTAATTGAGATTGCTAATATTTCATCATTCACTCAGGGCAAGAAACTGGCAGCTCATTTCATTTCAAAAATTGGTGTCGACAAATTCTGGATGTTAGTCAAGAAAGTGGTCACGTCCGAAAAGACAAGCAAGTCAGTGAAAACTTATTTTTTTAACATCAAGTTGAATCGATTTCGGATCTGATGAATACTTTTGGAATCTTTTTTAATCTGTTTGTTATTTCATTTCATTTCTGTATATCCATACTTGAGGACACAATGTGCCAATTACGGTGAAGTTTTATTATTGGCCTGGAAGAATGCTATGAAAGATGGTGCTCATAGATTACAGCATCGATTGGAAAGAATTTTTATGGACGTCGTCTATTATGCCTTACAGCATCTTCGTTGTAATAAAAAATTTATGGCGGTATCATGATTAATCCTACTTGCTATTTCATTAAAATTTAGTCAATTGCCTTCAGAAAATATGTGTATTTTACTTTGAGATTTTATGAATTGTTCAGATACGAAACAGATATAGCTAGCAAACATGAGCAAACCAACATGAACAAACCGTAATTGTAGTAAAACAGTGTACTTGAGCAACAATAATTTTGATACAAAGTTTTAAGAATTGCAGATGCTCGAGTCTTTCGGGAAAGCTAGGAACAAACAGGTTGATGCAATGATATATCGTACATTCGAACCGAATCTATGGCGTTGTTTGAAGGTTTCCATTCTTTCTTGAACTTTTTCTTCGATTTAGTCAACAATTGTTGGCCGAGAGAGTTTGGAATTTTAAAATATATATTTTTTTCAACTATTAAGTCTGTTTTTTTGCAAAAATAATATTGTTTAAGGCGGCTAATGAAACGGTACGATGCAATGCTTGCTGCCTTTTTTTGCCGTTCTATCCATTTGTTTCGGATGATGATATCGTATGTTTTAACTAAAGAGAGGATTCTATTGAGGTGCAAGACACTGGATTTTTATCAGTTGGGGTGGGAGCCTTGCTTGCTGCAGTATTGTGGGCCATAAATAAAATCGAATGATTCACGCAATATTTTGATCATAGTTTCTTTATGTGATACAAGAACAAAGCATGATCATTATTTTTTGCATTTAATACATGTATTTAACGTAGGAATTTGCAAACAAAGCCATTGTCTTGTAGATCACCCCAGAATTAAGATCAAAATCTATCTTATAAAATCAAAGTTATTTAGAATTCCCAAATCCACTTTCATAAAATATTTTTATGAGTAAAATGTGTTGTTAAAGCATGAGCTTCTGGTTGAGTAAGACGTCCAATCAGGATTTATGAAATGCATTTTACAGTATTTGATGCCTAGCACGAAGTAATACATTCAGTTCCGTATGTTCATCATGAACACTATCAAAATAAACAAATCCATTGAAATTCGAAATTGTAATTGGAATTAGTTCGTTCAGGAAAATGCGGAAAATGTTAGTCTACAGCAAGGAATAATTATCGATCTTCTGAAAGATGATAGTTATGTAATTCGATCTGAGGCATGCAGACGAACATTATTCATACTGAGCGCTTATTTCGATATATTTCCTCTAGATTTTATCAAGCAGTGTTTGACGCAGGTAATTCCCAACATTTAAAGGCTCTAGTTGTTTTCAGTACGTACCAGTAATTTGAAAAAGGCGATTCCTTCCTTCAGTAAAAATTATCATTAAGGTATCAACTTTGAGTTACGCAGGTAGTAGAACTAATACAGCCTGCGCCTTTTATAAGTCTCCTTCCTCACGGTTTAATTTTCATTTGCAAATTAATAGCGTTTTATCACACTTTATAAATGTTTCCTGTTTTCCGTAATTATATGCATTATTATTACCAGTTACCAATTTTTTTTAGATTATCGATATTTTATCAGTGGATAGCATTGTTAGCGTGAGAATAGCAGTTTACGAAGGAATGCGCGATCTTTTACGCTGCGGCAGTGCTCTGAATGCTTGTGAGAGGGCTCTAAAATGTCTGTTTGATAACAGGGGGATCAATGATCGTTGTGATCATGTTCGATTAGCTGCATTTAAGTTACTAAATGCGCTAGTAGGCCATCGTTTTATCAAGGCTTGTTAATGCTGATTTTTCCCTTTTGAAAAGTAGCTCAATTTGATGTACGTTAGAAAGAAAATATGCTAAATTTTAGGGAACTTCTAATAATTGTTTCAGCAGTAAATATGTAGCAAATAAAACTGAATAAGTATGGATCCCGTTTTCTGATAAATTGTATAAATAAGAAATATTTTAGCTTAGCGAAGTGGTGAAGATGGATTGCATTTTGAAGGTTTTTGCTCTTGAGGAATCTGACATAGTACGGAAAGAGGTAAATAAAATCGTTTGAAATGGTTTAATGATAGTAAACACTCTTGTTTCAACTCCATTCACTGATATTCCTTTCTTTTCGAGATCGTGAAACTGCTGCTGCCATCATATATGAAACCAGGACTGAAACCGGATGAAGTGATCCGTCGCATAATTGTTATGGGACGAGAGAGTGAAACCGCTGCTTTGTCTTTCCATCATATAGTTATTACTGAAAATTTAATTTCGGTCGGAAATGCTGGTTGGTTTCTGCATTTTGATCATTGATTTTTACATATCAGGGCATTGAAAGTGAGCATCTTGAATAATAAAAAGTTGAAAGTTGCTGGAAGAAATTGCCCCTATGACATTTGATATTTGTTCTCGTTTCATAATTATATTTCATAATTTTGCATATTTTTCATCAGTTCAACATGCGAAATCATTAGTGCTTGCTGTATATAAAACATTGCGTTCACTGGAAGAAGTCGATGGTTGCGAAACAGATGAAGCAATGTCCTTATGCGCGGAGGCGACCATATGTGAATCATTCATTCGGCCAGTTCGGGGTAAGATTTTGCAATCTATTTATATGTATTAATTTTCCAAAAAAAAAAAAAAAAAAACTAGGTACCTTGTTTTGTTTCTTACCACGATGCGGGTATGACAAGGATTTCGGATGTCGGGAATGATTAAACTCATTCCTTGGATGCTTATCAAGTTAACTGACACAGCAACATAGTGCATACTGCCATCATCGTTAACCTGAACAGCAAGTGGTTTAAACTAAAATTTACATGGCAAGTTCTGTATGATCTCTCATAAATTGGTCTTACTTTTAATCGATGGACATTATGTTTGGACTAAAATAGTGATCCTGATGATTGGGTCGATCTCAGTTCTTGCAAAAAAGCGATTCTGTGAATACTGAAATTAGTTCTAATCAGTTGCAGATGAAACAAGCGAAAAATTTGAGCTTTGGAATTCATCACATTTGCTGCTGAACTGTTTGGTGGTAATGTGGTTTCCGCTACGTCTTATCTTAGATAATGAAAAGTATGCAAAGGAAAATGAGAATCTGCGAAGACTTATCACTAAATTGTTTAAATTTGCATTTTTGCGCTATCGAGTAAGTAAAAATTGAAGGGCTTCAAATCTTAATCAGATTTTTTTTCAGTTTTCCATTGACGAAACTTTTCTAAATGTCAGCGTTTCTTTTTAGAGTTGATAATAAGACGTCGATATCGACATTTAGTGATATGAAATGAATAGTAATACTAATCAAACTATTTGAAGCCCTCATGGGATTCTGAAGTCCAAAATCAGTTTTCTGTATTTTCAAATTTTGGTATTGATGTTGAAATAAGTGTCGAACCTTTTTTAGAATACACCGATTTTGGAAGCAATAATGCATTTGGGAAAGACCTTGGACGACTGGAAGGAAGGAAGAGTATTAGTACTGCAGGAACTGTTGCAAAATGATAGTTTGGATGATGAAAAAGCAGCAATTTACTTGGAAGCAGCTACCAGTTGGGATTTTTTGGCTCTCCTGAAATTTATCGATGATGGTACAAGCATTCAAATTTAGACATTTTTGAGATCTCATTATCAGGTCTTTTGTTCATATTTTTCCAGCATTCGAAACTGTGAAACGCGAAGTGTGCGAGGATAGTCCACCGAAGAAGCGTGAAAGGAAGTCGAAACTTACGGCTGACGCGTTTAATCGGGTAAGATTTCCTTTTCTTTACGTACTGTTTTTCTATTTTTTTTTCTTTTTTTTTGTTTTTTGTTTTTTTTCGGTTATAGAAAAATGTCAGTTACTGGTTAGTTACTTCCGATTTCATCTCTTGACTATTAATGATAAAATTTGTAGTCATTATTATATTTGGACCGCATTATAAAGCAACCAGAAATGAAGCATGATCTGGAGCACAACTATCCTATTTATCTTTCCAGATATTGCAAGGTAAGAATGGTTTGTGTGAAAACTTATGATTAGTGATGCATGAAATAAAAGTAACAACGAACGGTTTGTATAAGCTCATCTGTGTTAAGAATTTTATCATATGATAGCTTTCTTTTCCTCATAAGCGAGTCTAGTTATTTTTTAGGCTCTCACTTCATTGCGTCAATTAATCATGGAAAATATTTTGCAAAAAAGACTTCGATTCTCTACCTTTACTTTTACTTTTGAAAATATAATTTGCGGTATTCGTACGCAGTATATTCTAGCTGTTATGATTCTTACTGGCAGTAAGCAGGTTCCTTTTTTTTCTGAGAATATGGAAGAGATAAACTTATCTTATCATTAAATTTCTTGTGAAATTACACGAATTCGAAATACTTTCATTTATATTTTTTGAGTACTCAAGTTTAATCTGTTAACTTGAAAAAAACTGGAAATTCGGATGCAGCCAGAGCAAAAACTGATTGTAACATTAAAAACGGTTTTTCGCATTTTCAGGATGAGGAAGAACTGTTGAAAAATATGCGGGATGATGTAAAATGGTTAAAAGAGTCGGTTGTGCCAGAATTTTTGACGGATCTAACTGACGAGCAGTTGGATATAATGATCAAAGTTTTCGAGGTAAAAAGTGTTTGCATAACAAAAATTGGGAAAGCATTTATCATGATCTTTCTTGTTCTAATAGATCAAATGATTTTGGTCATTTCAAAAAAATTAGAATTTAGGAAGAAACTCCAAGTTTTTCATTTTGAGCTTAGGAAAAGTTCTGGGAATTAATCCAACTGGAAATGCAAAGCTCATGAAAGATGCATTTCAGACATATATCGGTTTGTGGACACAACAACTTAAGACTTATAACACGCCATTTGCGTTCAGAGCAGAACTGTATGATGTTCAGTGGATTGATAATATGAAAAACAGTCGTGGCGCTGTTCGACTTCTTGTAGTTGTGATAGAATTGTTCAAAAATTTGATTATTACTGCGGTTGGTTATATAAAAAACTATTGTTTCCAATACGCCTTCACTCGAAAAATTAAAGTATAAGAGTTATGTAATTCATTTTGTTCTCAGACCGTCAATAATGAACTGACAGAAGTACCAATAGCAAGCTTGTCGATTTCCATTTTCAAGTATGTAGCAGCCTGTTCAAAGTCCAACTTTGGAGATTTTGGCCGTAAAGCAAGTTTTTTCGGTCTTTGCATTTTGGTCCAGTTCTCTTAGTTTTAGTTATTGTCTTGAAATTGTACGAGTTCTCACATGACATAAAATTGCATTGAAAAATTAGATCTTTCTGTTGAAAACAGTATTTTAAGCACATGTATTTATTACAGAAGATAGCTGAAGCATGGCTTTCTATCTACAGCACTTTGAACAGCTGCGGATTGCTAACGTCGAATATAATTGCTGAGCAAGCAAAAATTATTGCTGACATAGTTTTAGAAGGATTTTTGGTGACCAATAAAAATGTATTGGTTTAATTGGAAATAAATTTTACAAATTTTCAGTATTGTTACTTAATGCCTTCTCTTTTTATGCACACATAATGTATTCCTCATTGTCTTTTTGTTCGAAAATCGGAATTTTAGCTGAAGAGCTGCTAAAAATACTCTATTGGATTCGCTTTCCCGATTTTTGGAATTTTAAGATTTTTGAAAGCGATCCGAAGTTCTAAAGTTAATTTCCAACAATCTATTCGTAATTGTACTGATTTAGGATGATATATTTAGGTAGGAATTATTCAAAACCCACTTGATCCATGTTTGGAACTTAATGAGGCCACTAATTTTTGGGTTAACAAAGTGTTGTTGAAGCACCGATTATTGCGATGGTAATCCTTTTTCATTTCATTTTTTTTAGTGGTGACATTTTGAGATCTTGATATAAATAAAGTTGGCACTATTTCCATCTACGGGATTATTTCCTGAAATTTTGTGCAAGTTGAATTTTTTATCACTATTTGAGTTGTACGACATCAGCATTCTCGGATCGTATTATATTTGGTTTTGATAGTTTTGTCTCAATTTGCAAATTGAATGAAGGACATTCTCTTTGTTCGCTGAGGCGGGAGATTTGTTGGATATGTAATATGATAATTTAGGAATTAACTAGAACACTTATTATATGCTTTTTACAGTTCCGTACTTGTTTATTTCAAGGATCAAATCGAAAGTCGTATCTTATTTGCAAATACTATGCAAGAAGATGAAATTCATTGGTTTTTTTTCTTTCTGTTACACTCCATAGGCTGTTAAAAGAGATGGATTTGTTTTTTTTTTCTAAAAAAAAACTAAAAAGTGCAACCATTACTGTAAGTACATAGATATAATTGTCGGGATACGCATACTATGTAATTAGGTGACATTTTTTACAAATCACATTTCTTAGAAATATATGATTTGCCTTCTTAAGGTACACTTTCAGTTATGGAGCTGTGATCCAGTTTTTACTGCTTCTTCGAAGCTCAACAAGGAAAATTTCGCGTACATCGATTAACAACAGTATGCGGAAAGATACGGATTTATATAAAACATGTGTCCGGATGTTGGGTGAGCAATTGAGGGAATTAGGCTATAAGTATGGAAAAAATGAAATGTTTTTGCACATGGATGCTATTTTTAAAGAATTGTAAAGTCGTTTTTCTTGTAAATATAATTCTCAAATTTTCAAATGGAAAATATCAACATTTTTGATCATATTGTTTTGAAAACAGGAGAATTTGCCTTCAAAATTACTGTAAACTTGTAATATCAGCCTTCAAATCTTGTGGTGGTTTTCGCTTACTTGCAAGATTTTTATAACATTCCTTAATCTAAAGTTTTATATTTCAATATGAAAATGGTAATTTAAAATCACAATCGATTGCAGCGGTACTATCGGCAGTCTTTCTGGGGTTACAGCCAAAGAGCTTTTAATTTGTATCCGTTTGAATTTCCATCATTTTTATATTCCTGCCATTGTGAAGTAGTTGAAGTTACATTTGTGGTGATTATTGTTTCATTTCTCGGATCCCAAATTGAGTTCAGTCGTTAGCCGTTTTTGTAGCAGATGTTTTGATGAGAATTCATGTGGTGAAAGAAAGCTTGTAAGTTCAAGAGATTGGTATATCATTTGACAGGATTCTGGTGAAAGTTTCCAGTATCTTTGAGTTGCACCGTATATGTATGTGGGATTCGATTATCTTGATTTCAAAAACTTCTAAACTTGTGGCCAATATATGTTTTTGTCCTTTATATTTCCTGGTGCAAACTGCAAAACATGCAATATTTTTGTTGTCGTGCTTTTGTCTTACACGAAGACCGAAGTAGGACAACTAATATATTTTTTTCAATTCGATTTCACTTCGACTGTAACCGCTATTTTATTACCTGTTTATGTATCCTTTGCAAATAATAAATTTTCTGCTCCCAAAAATAAAAATTTCCCTATGTAGATGGATATGTTCGAGAAAGGTGCTCAGAAATTCTATATCAGGGACCAAGCTGACTAAGAAAATTCATGAGAGTCAAGTGAAGTAAATCATTCAGTGAAACCAATACGTTAATATCTCATGGATTCATCGCATCATATCATAG